GATTCTAAATCGACTGTGTGATCATGAGCGTGAACGGTTGTCTGGCTCTCTGAGTTACCTCTTTGACAGATTGGTAAAAAAGACTAAAAAATGTGCCACCATTACGCCACACACTGTTGAAAGCCAAACAGAGTGTTTTTGCCATCTTAGTGTTTTGAAACTGGACATGACGTGTGAGGCGTGGATATGACTGTGAAAGTGAGCGTGCCACGGGGTCATTAGTCAATGAGAATACCCTGGATTTTCCTCCTTTCTGACTCTGATATTGTCCATGTTAAAGACAAAATCTGCAATGTTCATAATTACCACCAGGGGGCGACTCAAGTGGAAGCACATTGTGAAAAATATGTCCCTAAGATTCGCTCTGTGACCTCAATGAATGATTTCATTGCCTTTATGGGCTTGACCACTAGTTTCATGTTATACTACATAAACGGGTGACGTTGCACAGTTGGCTTGCCCACCAAAAACGCTCATTGGCCGCCCTGTGGTCATCATGTGTGGGTGCCATGGTATTTTTGGCCCACAGGGTCCACAGGACCCCCATGACAGTTTTCTGTGGGTCAACCCATAGTGTGTTTGCCCACAGAAAACCCACAGAGGGACCCCAACAGGCAAAACTGTTGTTTATCCTGTGTAGGTCCGCACAGGCAAGAAGTAAAAGATATCAGAGAATATCCAATTTTCATATTTTCAAGTCAGGCTTATTTGTTTGATAGCATTTGAGTTTATTGTTGTTGGGTTTTTTCACCCCTTTGAGGGCAAGTGGATCCACAGTGAAGTGGTTTACATTCATTTATACATGCAGTCACTGTTGGTGCACTGTAGAATTTTGCTGTCCTTGAAAGCTCTTCATCCTGCAGCTACATCACTTTGGATGAAATATGTTAAGTGTTTTTTTTTTTTTATAAAAAACTGGAAAAAATCTAATTCAGACTCAGAGGGAACGCTAATAAGTTTTTACAGATGTGGCAGTTTTTTTATCATTTATTTTAATTCCTTGAAAACAACTGGACTTGCCTAATTTTGAGTATCTTTTTAAAAATGGTAAATGGTAAATGGTCTGTATTTGTATAGCGCTTTTACTAGTTCCTAAGGACCCCAAAGCGCTTTACACAACCAGTCATCCACCCATTCACACACTGGTGATGGCAGCTACATTGTAGCCACAGCTAATAATATATATTGGGTTAGACCTTGGGATGGGGATTGGTTATAAGTTGTTTAGTAGTTTCCAAAACAGCTTCACAATTGTTAATGGCTGGAACTGTATTGATTTATACCTTTATATCACTTGTTTTTGTCGAGGCTGATAGGTCAAACTACATGTGAATGAAGTGGAATTTATGGCTCAGCAGAGGGAATGCGTTCACAGGCCGCTGGCAGCTCGAGGATGGCCCGTCTACCTACAGCACGCTCTGTTATAGATAGAGGCAGCACACAAAATATGTGGTACAGCTGGCCTGTGGGTCACTTTCACTCTTTGTTGGTTCGTCAGCTGTTGTTGGTCTGTCTGCCAGCCCAGGAAAAGGGCAAAGTTACAAAGAGATGAAATGAAATCAAGTTTTAAAAATAATAAAAAGTGTCCACTGCAGACACTGTCTGTGCTTTTCATGCTTTATTTTTGAGCTTCAGTGTTTGCTTTGTGCTTCTCCAGTTCCTGGTGAACGCTGCTGTTGCTCTCTTCCCTCTTCCAGCCCACTTATCAACCAATCAGGATTTGGCAGACCCAACGCCTACGGATAAGAACTAGAGCTGCTTGGTTTAAACCACAGTTATTT